ACGCCCAGACAGTGAACAATCCACTAAGTTCAAAGAATTACAATCACCAATCGGTCTTACACACTCAAAGACTCCCTCCTTGATGTCATCGCCACTGTGTAGAATCCTCTTAGTGGCTTTGTCCAGTGAGTGCCACTCGACTTCGAAAGTTTTCTCCTGAAAGCGATACAAGTTTCTTCAAAAAGCCAAATCGTTCAATCACCAATTAAGCATCACCGAAACACTACTTTTCTGTAGGTTCTATTCTACTCGAAACCATTCACGTTCATCACACTATCACCCCAAAATACTCACCCCACCGAATGCACAAAATCAGCCACCCTCACTACTTCTTTCCTTTTTCCACGATGACCACATATACAACCAATTATATCCCCAAAAGATTACTTTTCAAAAAAGAGAACCAATTCTTCTATAGAAAGAATCAACCCAAGAGATGTCAAACATTCCAAATCTGGTGCAAAAATCCAAAGATAGAATCTTTATAGCTGTTAGAACCTTTTACCAAAAATTGCCAACTAACAAAAGTCCTAACAGTTGTGATCCTTTAACATATTTAATATTATCCCTGATCTTCTCATTGACTTATCAATACATTTCAAACCTTCTTGCACAACGAGATTGAGAATATCGGCACAACATCTCAAATGAGAGAATTCACCATGGTAAGGTAGTAAAAGCCACACAAGTTCAATTAGTTTTGCAATGCATCCATAGAGACATTATTAAAAGCAGTATTATCTAAAGTGATATTGAAAATATTTCCCTCAATTTCCCAATTACTCAACAAATCAAACATCTTCTCAGATAGTGCAACACCAATGTGTGGAGGTGGCATAATATAAAAGTTCAATAGTCTCTTATGCAACTTCCAATTCTTATCAAGAAAATGGGCAATCAAGCGTTACCATTCCATTGCAGACTATGAGTTTACTCTGCTTCCTCCTTGCTACCTTTCTAATGGCCTTGGTGGCTGTGGTGATTCTAGAAAGAGCCGGATCAGGAATAAGGTCTAGTGCATCCTCAGCACAATGCAAAGCAGCCGCTTGGCAAATCAGCTCATCAAGCTATTCGTCATCGCTGGTCCCCATTTAGACGACCCCGAGCAGGAAATGGGAAAGATCCTTCTAACACAAACAGAAACCGCAGAAGGAACCGAAAAACCAAAACAAGAAACAAAGGAGCAAAGCTGAAGTTATAGTGTATAAGGAAGCCCAAAGAGAGACATCAAACAAAACAGTGCCAATATCAAGAAGATAGAGAACAACCAAAGAAAACACAGCCCGAGGAATAGGAAAGAAACAAACTAAAAGCACACCTAGGTGCTACAGAGAGTAAATCTCAATCAGGGCAAGATACCCACCACGTCCTTGTATGATGTTGACAATGTGTCCTCTTTGATCAAATCTTCATGAGTACTACCCGGCCGGGTTTCATGCAAATCATTACTAGTACTTGCTTTCGGTTATTCTTGCTAGTAGTACATGACTAAACTACTGATTGACTCGTTGAAGGGACCGAGTTCACTCGACTACATTCACCTTTAGAGACATGTCTGATTCATACTTGTTACCTTTATTTACTATTTAAATAATGGGAAATTTGTCTTCTAGGTAAGAGAGACTCTAAAACATGGACGTTGGTCTTTTTGGGTTATTAGAGGTGAGAGGAAAGGTTATTGGGCACATCCACTTTTGACCAATTAATTTAAAACCCCCAAGTGGGATTTAACACTAAATTGGACCAAAGATGAATGAGCCATTTCCTTACTCATGGCCACCAAATCATGGCCCACTAGAGTTCAACGAGCGTGGATTGGATCCACAAAACTATCTCATTTACATCGCATGACTCAAGCTTAAATGGGAATGCTGTGTGAAATTCGTACTCCAAAGTAGTGGTGGAACTTTGGGCCGGCGGTAATGCCGCTGCCCAAATTTTTCGAGCTCAGCGGGCAGGGCCATATGCCGACCCATCCAAAGTGAAAATTCAGGCTCGGGTTCGGGCAGCCCGAATTTGGGCACCTCGCCGGAGCCCGCCGCCGTGTAGGTGCCATCAACCGTCGTCCGCCGGAGTTTTTTTGAATTTTTCCGACAAAGCCTGATTTGCCCGACCTGCCCGATGCCCAAAAATCGTGAAAAACGGTCAAAATTCATACCGTTTGTGCCCGACCTGAATTTTAGCCGAAAACCCGAATTTTGCCAAATTGCCTGACATGCCCGAGCTACCCGAATGCCCGAAAACCCGTCCAACGACTATTTTTTACCCGAACTCGCCCGAACCCAACCCGCTGAACCTAAAGTAGCCGCTGCACCCCGAATTTTTTAATATATAATACCATTTTAAATGTAATTGATGAATTTAGATTAAGAGATAAAGTCATGGCTATAACATTAAATAATGCTATAGCCAATACAAAAGCAATTGAGTTCTTTGAAAATGATTTAAGTTTATTCGGTGACAGTACAATTTTCCACCAACGTTGTGCATGCCACGTAATTAATTTAATTGTTAAAGCTGGTTTAAAAGAAATGGGTAATCACATTAAAAGAATTAGAGATAGTCTTAACCAAAGACAAGAAGATTGGTTTAAGTTCTTACAAGCATTAAATATACATCCTAGAGCGTTAGATATGCCTATAAACTGAAACTTAACTTACATAATGCTTTAACAATGCATCCCCTATAAGGATGTTATAACAAACTATACGTGTGCAAAAGTATGAGTAAATCATATAGACGCATATGATTGGCAAATTGCCGAAGTTTTGTATCAATTTTTAGGTAGGTTTCATGAAGTGACTCTAAAACTTAGTGGAACATATTATCCAACATCACCTTTAGCTTTAGGAGAACTTTTACGAATTAGTATTTTATTTTAGCGAATATAGGGAGGACCCAATCTTAGCAGTTCCTATCGATTCAATGAAAAATAAATTTATAAAATATTGGTCTAAGTTGCCTTTATTGTATGGTTTAGGTACTATTTTTGATCCTCGATTAAAATTAGAAGGTTTAGAAAGTGGTTTAGATAACTTAAGTGAATTTTTAGGCATCAATTATTCGGACCAATATCCAATAATAAAGGAAAAAAATATTTTCGATCTATAGTAAATATGAGATTAGGTTTAGAGTACCTTCTAGAGTACGGGAACCGCAACAATAAGACGAAAACCCGCATTCATTCTTGAATATTTTCGGGTTGAAGAAGAAGAAGAAAACAACTCAAACAGAAGCTAGGAGTGAATCTTCGTCAACAAGTGGCAATGGTAGCAGTGGCGGCAGCTTCAACGAGCTTATGGCGTACCTCAGTGAAGGCTTAGTAGTCGACGGTACAGCAGAATCGTTTGACTTAGTTCAATGGTGGAAGGCACGGGCATTAACTTGGCCAATCCTAACTCGATTGGCAATGGATATATTTTCGATCCTAG